TGTATGGGTGGGGATCCTGTGCAGCAAGCATCAACCCTCCAAACCAACCTGCCTGCGTCAGGACAACGTGCTGGGACGGCGGCAGCTTCGAAGGAATCCTGAGCACCAGGGCTGGGTGATTATGTTGTACACAAAAAGGCTAGCATGTGCACACTGGACAAACTCAGGCATGGGTGGTTTGCTTGAAAGCAGCAATGTTGGCAATGTTTGTTTACAAGGCACAATGTGGAGACTGGAACCATTTACATGAAAGTTAAAGGGTGTCACTGCATATTTGATGATTGTAAACAATGAGCCGTATGGCCACCACATGTGCTCTGTATTGTACACACCTGTGGCATCACCACCAAATCAGTAGTGATGACGAGGCCCCCGAGTGTCAGCATACCACGATTGTTGACAGTCATCGCAAGTGTGGTTGTTGTGCTTCAAGCGCGTCCTTGCATATGCGCAAGATTGCTGTTGGCGAAGCATCCTCTCAATCCTAGTGCATGGCTTGCCGCAATCACACGGTCACATAGTTTGCACCTGCTCTCGGGGTGGAGGTGGTGGTGGAGGAAGTAGACCATGGCTGTCCGGGGTATCTGCCATGCATACCTGCCTAGCATCAGCACGCTTGGCAGCATTCACCAAAGTCTAAGCAGTGAACTTCGGTGCTTTATTCGGCCCATGAGACGCCTGTGATCCTGACTCACTTGTTGTGCTTCTTGATGCAGGGCCTGTTATGAACTTGTCAAAGAGCTTTCCATAGTCTGGCTTCTCCGGCTCCGGCCGGACGCTCCAAGTATACACACCAGAGCTGCCCGCCGGCGCCGGATCCTCTTCGGAGGAGCTGGGTTCACTCTTGTCGCCGTGCTTGTCACGCTGGTTGTGAGCATGCTTGCCATGATGCTTCTGTGATGACGTAGGTGGTTGCATCTCTTCATCCTCGGATTTTGTCTTGCCAGGCTTCGTGTCATCCGGAGCTGCCTCTTTAGGATGGTCTGCATGATCACACTGCTCCTGTTCAGGCTGCTTTGCATGGCCATGCGGCTCCTGTTCACACGGCATTGCGTTGTCATGCTGCTGTTCAGGCCGGTGTGAATGACTTTGCTCACCAGCTTGAGGCTCTGAGTTGACATCAGGAGTAGGACTAGCAGCTTTAGCTGTTGCCGCCGCTGTGGCCTCAGCCTTTGTCCTCTCCGCTGTGGCTGCCTCATGGTCTTGCGCAACCTTCAAGCGCTTTCCGGCATCATTCAATTTCCATTCAGCATACTGGAATTCTTCTGAATTGTACTTCCCGAACCAACACCAGCTCCTTCAACTCGCGAACCTCCAGCGACATGATCACCGACGTGAACCCTGCTAGGGCATTCAGGCTTGGTCCACCAAAATTGCTAGATGCAGACAGCACACTGTTGGATGATTGTAGCATGCGGAACTCTACCACTGATGTGTCATGCACATGCTCGGAATATAACCCTCACACATGTCAAATCCAATCTTGTTCAACAATGGTGCTTGGCTGAGGCACAAACGGGTGTGTCTTCGTAGAGATCTCCAGCTTCGACCTCAGGCGCGGGGACTATACGATGTAACTGTAAACAAACCTGGTAACAACATCATGTAACAACATGTTGGTGGTTGCTCAGGTTCCAGCATCAACAACGCTACCCATTCTATGAAAACACGCGTTGATAGAAGGACACTGTTTGAGCACTTGTGTTGAAACATTCATCAAACATGACAAGTCATGGCTGTGAGTCCTTGTGTGGTTTGCAAGAACTTCCAACATGTCGCCAAGCAAGTAGGTGCAAAGTTTGAGTGACGGCAAGCGTAGTGTCCAAGCACGTTCAATGCTAGTTTGCAATGCACATGTTGTCAAACGGTTTTAGCAATGTTGCATGGTTTTTGCACGTTGCGCAATGAGCCTTTGCTCTTTTGAGGCACCGGCGGAGAAGTCCTACGCCAACATCAGCCATTGGGTCTGCTTTGCAGCAGATCCCGACAACTGCTAATTTAGTGTAATTAGTGTTCTATTCAACGAATTTCAACCAATTTGCATTTAACAAGCATCTAACTTGTCAACAAACACCCCTGTTCAACGGTATCAAGCAAAGGTTTCAAGCTCGACACAGCAAATTGGCCGCAAAATTGGCAATTTCAGGAACAACTATGTTGTCCATAGACGTCAACTGCTCCCGCTCCCTAGAAGTCAAAGCATCTTGGATCCACTTGTGAGTGGCTGGAATGGTTCTTGGCTGCCACGGCTTTGCAGGATACGAGCGGATTTCCTTCTCACTGAGCAAGTTGTTCGGATCCTGGCGGTAGTGCCCACAGGCAAGAATAGCGGACATAACTTGACACAACCAATCTAAAAGCCAAATGGGTAAACTGTCTCACAAGTACAAGCCTTGACAAAGTTGAAACCACCCCTTGTCGCCAAGAAAAAGACCCGCTTCCGCCATGTCTGGCAAACATTGGCAAACCATACCCACACATAATCAAGAAGACAACGCAAGAAACAGAACAACGTTGTGAAATGAGCAAAGAAGTTGGTTGAGTATTGGACCGGAGCACCAATGTCGCGACCCGAAACGCAGCACCATTTGACTTGAAAACCACGACGTTCCAGCTCCTGCTGGACAAGTGCAAGACACGACGTGCGTGTTGCGTGGCTGCACTATGTTTCACTGACAGTTGGGAAACAAGACGATCGATCCTCTAGAACGTAGGTCATGAAAGGAACCATGTCTGCCCTGAGAAGACTAAATACACTCTCCAGGAAGATCCATCGCCTCAATACTCAATCAATCAAAACAAGAACATCCGTGAATGTAGTTGGTCCCAGCGCATGCAAGTCACAAGTAGGGTAGCCCCTCTACCTGCTCAAAGACTTCTCCTAGAGATGAACGCGCCCCTGAAAGGCCTTGCATCAAAACTGCTCCGCAAACATCCTTAGAGAAACAACATTGGTGAACGTGGTGTTGTGGCAAGATGTAGCAAGTTGGTGCTTGACAAGATAATGGTGTCAGCATGTAGTTGTACCAGTTAAGAATCCTGGCATGGAAAACCAGCAATCAGGCCAGTGCAGGTGGCCCTCATGTCGACGGTCGGACGGAAAGTCCACACATCTGTGTACACGGGCACGTTGGGTAGAGAACCATCTGCAATTCTTTGGCCCAAAACTTCTCTGCAGTGTGGGTTGTTTTCGACCTGCAGTTTGAAGCAGTGAAGGTCAACAGCGACCAAACAACATAGAACCTGGACAGTGTGTGGTAACATGACGCAGAGTCTCATCTAAGGGCGATTCGAGGCACAAGGGCTCACAGAACCTTGACTACAGAGCAGCTAACAATACACATAGTAAAAAGTAATGCTCTACAGACAAGCGCACACCTGTTTCAACCTCAACCTCTAAGATCTCTACGCAGACAGGCCCAAGTCAAGGCCACCAACGCCAGAAAACATTGAAATGCACTTGTGCTGCGCAACCTTATGCAAACAAGACTGCCTTCAAAAGTATGTTTCACAGGCAACTAAGTACATGACTGGGGCGCCCTTCCAAGGGCATGCACGCAGTACATCTTGATGAGTCACCGTAGTGAAAGGAGAAGTCCATCCACGAGGGAGCCCTCACGATACTTAAAACGATTTGACCTTGAGCCCTGTAGTGGAGTGAGTGTCGCAGCATGTGAACAACATTGGTGGCCTGATAAGTGCTCCGCCATTTCAATGGATAGATACTTGCCTTTCTGGAGCTGTTCCATTTGGCATGCCAATGCCTGTGTGTACGAGGTTGAATGGTACAGTTGCGTAGCCAGATCCTGTGCAAAACAAAATTGATGCTAACTTAACCAAGTGCTGCTTACAAGCATTTAATGCTGAACGTATACAACCAAGTCCTGCTTTCCCCGGATGATGTATTGCGTGGTTGCCGTGTAAGTTGATGAAAAGCACCCTGCATGATTAAAACCGGTGAGCAATACTTACAACATCGTAACATCATGTCAACAAAGTAAGCGCTAGAAGTTCAGTCTACATGGTATACAGTATACAATCTGCACCCTAAGCACCCTACTCAAGCAACCCATGGTCTGCAAGACAAACTTTCCGCACTGGTGCTCCACATTGCCTTGAGACTTTGGCTTTCGCGGAGGAACCTAGGCCAATTGGGCGTGTTGTTTCACCAAGGTGTCACACCTAGGGCCAACAAGGTCAAACAACTTAGTTACAGTGCTTGTTGTGTTGTTGCACTGCTGTAACGTTATGTGAGTGCTTCAACATGCGTTGTGCTGTTACAGTAGTTGTTACAGTGCTGTAACGTGTTGGGTCCTGCAAGTTAGTTAAGTGCTGCAAACGAGTTCCAACTACAAGCAGTGCATGACAAGTCACAACTTCCAGCCGGAGCTTGGCTCGTGCAACCTGTGGAAATCCAAGCGGCTTCCATCGAGAGCACTGTCCCTGAACAAAGCGGCCAAACTGAGGGTATCGGGTTGCATCCTTCTTTAGGATTGATCCCTTGTTCACCTTCTTCATCGAATTGGTCACTTGCTCCACTTCTGGTCTTAGCGTGCGCAACAGTGTGGACACAACAGTTGTGAGCAACATCACAACAAGGAAGTTTGCTTGCTTCACACCCACACACACCAAGTAAGACACAGACTAGCTCAGCTGATCCACGTTCACAAAGGCACAAAGGACATGTGTAGTGGAGACAAAGCTGATCCGAAATGGCTTTGAGGCACTTTGAGGCTCGATATTCAGCAAGCAACAACCATCAACAACCTAACAAGTTAGTTCCGTATGCAAAGATTTTTTGGAACCCTGGTTGTAAACTGGAACCCTGGTTAGCTGGCAAAAAAATTGTATCATGCATAAACTTGCATGCTGCTTATTTTGTATAGTCATAACATGTGGCGTTCAGTACAAACCTCTTCGACTTTCTCCTCATCTCACAGTTTCCAATGTTTCCATCTTCTTCCCGGCACCACTTTGCAAATATTTGCAAGCCAAGCGGCACAGGAAAACCAGCAGTATCCGTGTGACCCGTGTGAGTGGCTTCATCAATGGGTGAGCACCTTGGCGGTCGGAACCAGCAGGCAACCAGTCGGTTGCTGGGGATGAAACATGATGCCCATTTTGACCAAGCTCCCCTTTTCTCGGCTATGCTCAGCTCCAAACCCACCGAATATGGGTGTAAATAACATAAACAATAACTGCCTTCCCTCGGACCGAAAACGGTGCCCCATGAGGTGGACCGAGTCCAAACCGAGAAACTTGTGGATTCCCTGCTTTGAACAAACAATCGATCCGATCCGTGAGCCGTGAGCCAGTTCGCTGAGTTTGTGGAGGCATTTGCATCTCCGAAACATGCCAACCCACCGAAACCACAGGTCCAGCCACCCACCGAAAGCATCTTTCGACCATCCTTCTTTAGATGAGGAACGGCTGTTCGAAGCATTGCAAAAATCAGTGAATTATGCAGCTGGAGCCAAAGTTGCACGATTCAGAGCAAGACATCTCAAAGCTCGATGCAACAAACCCAATTGGAAGCCCTCTGGTTTCTTTCCACCCTCGAGAATCAGCCCAGTCTCCTCTTTCAATTCCTCTGGAGAAAGCTCTGGCAGCAAATCTCGATTCCTAAGCCAATCAGCAAACCATCAGACAGCCAAATCCTTTGAACTCCAAGAAGATGAGCCCGAAGACGGGTATATACTGGGCCGAAAGCAGGTACAGCAACTCTGTGGTCAAGCAGGTGTCGAAAACTGGGCAGCTGACTTGTTGGACCACAAGCCCGAGCTTCCAGGCATGGTCACAAAGTCCAAGGATTCCTGTGAAATCACACGTCCGAACAAAGCGAGAGCAGCAAAGGAGTAAACTGCGGAGGATGAGCATGTGCTGCTAAAATGGTGAAGTGACCTGCACAGGTGAGGTAATAGAGGATGCAGTTTGAGATGGAGCGCTTAATATTCAACAAAAAAGGGCGATGTGCCTGAAGCTCAGTCTGCATTCTTTTGGTTGGGGTCACTTAGCCTACTAAGCAAGCTTCTGGTTGTCTCCTCAACAAGGATGCAAACCCACTCGGCTTGCACAGTAAGAATGAGATTCAGCAACTCGGGAAGAGAGAGGTCCTCCAGGAGAACCACTCACAGACCAAGTTGCGTCTCCAAAACAATAAAACTATTCTGAAGTCGGGATATTCAGTCTGCATCTTCCTAGGGAAGCTAGGGAGTGCAAACCCACAACCCACAGACCCAAGCGTTTCCCACCTGTGCCAAGCGCTTGCGCATGTCGCTAGGCCAGTCGAGCGCACCTGCCGAGTGTTTGCTGGGCAAACGTGGAGTCCCAAGGTACACTGAAAAGCTGAAACGGCAAGTGATGCTGACAAAGGCCAGGACCGGAAGGTGCAACTATGAATTTAGCCATTTAAAAAGTCTGATTCGTCTTGCACCCTTGCTCTTCTCCCTTTGATTCCATGCCGGCTGTACCAATCGCGCCGTCACCCGCCGCTGGAAAATGACTTCGTAATGCCTGACCAAGAACGGTGCCAGCAGGTCCACGTGTTGGGGGGTCAGAAACTCGACGACACCGACGATGTCCGACAGCCCCAGTGTGGGGTCCTGATGAAAACATACGAAACAGGGATGAAAAGGGATCAAAAAGGGTTTCCTGCCTCCATCATAGTTCGGATTCCCCATGCTGGTTGCCAGAGATCAGGATGGTAGTCTCAGCACAAGTCTTTGACGAGCTCAAGAAGCCAAACTGTGTCTTCTCATGTCTTTTCCAATTAGACCACATCTCATGGGACCATCCAGGACCGACTCCCGATCTGATTGCCCAAAGAGCTGCAAAAAGCCCTCCCATTTGAAGAAACATATACTAAAGCCATGGAGCTTGTATTGCTGAGGCAGATCTTCTTGCCCACCTGCGACACAAGTGACACCAGTGGTCAGCGGTGTCCGGCGGTGCGGCGGTTCTACGGCAAGGCCTCCCACCGACCGCTCGGCGTCAGCAGGGTAATGGATGGCGGCGCTAAGGGGTAATTCACCTCGGTGGGAGAAGGACGACACAGAAACAAGGGGGTGGTGATGGGTGGTGTAGAGCAAAGGTGTCATTGAAATGTATTGAAGACAATGATTGCGAGCCTCATTCTAGGTCCTAGGTCTGACCTCACTTGCAAGACTTTGTCTTCCGTACACACTCACACACCCTTGGAGGCGAACTGGAAGAACAATCTTCCCAGTGTAAATACCTGACAGGAGAAAACTTCTCTCTCCTTTGCAAGGGGTGCCGTTTAGGCACCGGTCACAGGCCACGCCTCCTTCAAAATCTGTTTCGGGTGGACCACGAACGGCAAACTCAGTCGTAGCAGTCGGTGCGCAAAGGGATCAATTGAATGAGACCATTGACTCCAGCACTCAAAGTCAATGTGAGTCCTACTAAATTAAATGGGATCACATGTGCTAAAGTCAGGAGAAAGAGCTTGGAAGCTGACAAGGATTTGGTTTTTGCCAACATGATGATATCAAAAAGATCTGCTATTGAGCTGGATGATCTGCGCACTATTATGTTCACTTGTTCTTCTCAACAGAAGCAACCTCAGCATTGGTAAATGTGTATTCATTTCGATACGGTATGTGCATCAAACAGAAACACGTTTTCCAAACGTGCGTCAATATGCCAGTATCTTTCAATGTTTTTGTTATGTAAAACAACAAAACACATCTGCAAGCATATCATACTTGGCCCTTTCAATGGGGATTAGAGTCCATCTTAGATTTGCCCCAAGCAAGGTTAGCCACTTCTTATGAAAGTGCTTTTCTACTGTCTAGAAAAAGTTCACAATTTCCTTGAAGAATCCTTATGAAAGTGCCTCTCCCCGTGAGGGAGAAAAACAGCTCACCTGGCTGCTTGCTGCAGCTTGTCATCTTTGGAAGGTCGGTTTAGATCGAGCTTTGCAGCCATCGGTTTAGGCGTCTCACGATCCACTCGAAGAGATCGTCAGTGGCTGGGCCGGCAGTCCTGCAAAAAGGTGACCACGGTGACAACGAAAACACCGGGGGCTCTTCCACTTGTTCCATCTCTTTCATAAATTGTGACTCTTTCCAATCACATTCTTTCACCAGATTTGCTGTACCTCGGGAGAAGCACACGCGCCATCGATGGCACGCATCGAACGCGCGCCATCGAACGCGAACCCGTCCAGTGTTTGGACGGAGACTCGTTGATCTCCTTGAGTTCTCGTTGGATCCGCCTAGGCGAGCGGATCGGTCCGAGCTCGATCGATTTCGAGCGTCACCGCTCCAATCAGTCTGGTCTTCCCACTTCAGCTGCCTAGTTTTCTACCCCATCTGAATTTGGCCAACCGTCACTTTCACTGTACAGTCAGTGCCTTTCAGCTCAAAAAGTCCCGTTTTCTGGTGATCTTAGAAACCACAGGCAGAGTCTCTTCAGTTCAGCCACTTGATGGATGATGTGGATCCGGTTGAACTTCCTGCCTCCCGAGCATTGGAGATGTTGACGGACTCAAACATAGCTGAAGCCCAATAAACCACCTTAAATTATTAACCAGCTTAAACCTTTATTAAGTAAGATTCAACGGAACTTTGAAAGGCACGTCATAATTGAAGTGTTCGTCAAGCCTTGCAAGGATGTTTCCTCAGCAGCTCATGTAAAACAACCGGAGCCGTCAACTACTTTGGGAGCCTGCACCATCTGTCTACCACAGTCACCTCCAAAACCCATCTTGGCGGATGGATACCTCGTCCGCTTCTCTTGAGTGGCACACGGAGCATAGCGGTATCTATGTTGGAGGAGCTATGGCTGCAGGAACCCTTCCCGATCTATATAAATCTGCCAAAAGCCTCGACTACCTCGGTACCTGGTTCCAAGAAAAGATGATTTCTTGCACCAAGCAGTCCCTTGGGCCTTGGGAAAACCTCCGCCATGCCCTAAAGCCGCCATGGCCACAACTTCAGCCAGCGTGTGAAACCAATAACTCTTAAGACCTTTGTTGCTTGGGTTTGGAATTCTCTAAGATATGTTTCCCTATGTCAATCTGCTGAAAGGGTTCGAACTAGCTTGGAATCATTTTGAACCGAAGACGCTTGGACTGCACAACATGTTTTCTTGCGCATCGAAATGTGCGGCTTGTCGGTGAGGTCTGAGGCAGACGACAAACCTTTCCCCTCCCGACGAACTTTTGGAGTCTCACGTTGCGTGTCTCAGTGATACACACACGCCTGGCACGGCACGCGACGAATTGAGAGGCCAAGAAAAAACAAGAGACGTGTAAGATCGTGTAAGTACAGTCGGGGTATGGTGAGAAAGGGACGCAACCTGCCAAAGAAAATGGTCATGGTTATGTATTGTGCTAAGCTCTCTAACTTGAGTATCTGAAATGATGTGGACCTTGACCAAGTTCATTGGATATGTTGATGATATGTCCAGCATGTTGGCCCCACTGTTGGGTGCTGCCCAATCGATGCTCAAAACAATCGACTATGCACAAGGTTCTGGTTGACCAGCTGCCATGTAAAGCATTGGCAAAAATTCTAACAAGCAAGTAAGAAATCTTGTCTGTACTTGCAAGACCAGGCAAAACGCCACCTGCTTGTCATTGCATGTTTCTTCTGTCTTCACATCTGCTGAGTCCACCAAATACTGAATGAATTTCGGAGGTCACGAAAGGCGTCACGTTGCCACCGAGGAAAACTCCTGGAAAACCGCCGAACATATCCGAAAATGCAGTCAAAAAAGATATAGGCTATGGTTCCTTTCTTGAAGGCTTATCATGGTACCCAGCCCTTCACAAGTTGAGTTCTTCTGAGAGGATTCTGATCTGCGCTCTGAAAAACATGTGCAACAATGGTTGTAGGAACATGAACTTCTTCAAGAGCTCACTGATGAGAAATGAGGCCTACGGCGGAGGTGGATATTGTCTGTCTTGGATGAATCCGAGCTTGCGAAAAATTGTGAGGAAGTTGGACATCCATCATCACCAATTAATCGCTAGTAACTAGTAGCAAAGGGCATTACTACTATAGCAGCAAGAAGCTACTGAG